TGGTTTCGGGGACAGGTGTGGGTGTGGTTTCGGGGACAGGTGTGGGTATGGTTTCGGGGACGGGTGTGGGTGTGGGGGTGGTTTCGGGGACGGGTGTGAGACTATTATTTATATAACATACCCACACCCACCCCACACCCTTAAAAAAATACTAGACAGGCCTTGCTAGGTAGGCCGAAGAAAATGACAGGCAGGCCAGGCCTGCAAAACGTGGGCCTGGTTGGACCTCTTATAGGTTTATCGTTGATCAACTTGTATTAATTGATTGTGACTTGGATATTTTGTTCTTAGAGAAACAACAGTAACTGATATGCATCTTTTTAAATATGCATATTATCCTCCGATGAGACTAAATAAAAATGAAATCTCGTCATTGATACTAATATTGAAATAGTTGATGCTATTATTCCATCCGGCATTGATACATTATTAATGTTTATTTGTTCTTAATAGAATATTCAGATGGCTTAGCTAATATAAACATGATAATGATGCTTGTCCGTATCTAAATATATATTCTAGTTGTTTTTCTCATCATTGACTCATCGGTTGTCTTTTATATAATGAATGGTAAAATCGAATTGAGTTTAATTTTCTTAAACATTTCTATGGTTATCTTAATAAGTAAATCATTGAACTCAATGAAGAAAGATCTATCTCAATTGGATAACATTTTGATAATATTATGCATGGCAATGTTTTCATAGATTTTGTAGTCGATACATTTATCTATGCCGATCGATGAAGCATGAGATGATTTTTTTTTAAAATTTTATTAGTTCTGAGAAATGTTTTAAATGAAAATTGTAGAAAATGATCATAGACAACGTAACAATAAAGATAACTAGACAAGAACCATTCTGGATGTCGAAAATTTTCAAAAGACTACCATCGATTTTAATATCGTGGTAGCTGCTCAGTCGATTGTCTTACAAACAACCGAGGGAAAAAGTCAATTTTATCATTTTATTCATTTCGAATAATATCTAAAATAATTGTGACTACTCGAATGAGGAGGAACAAATGATCGTTATCTTCCGAAGTAACTTATAATGGGAAAATCATGAAATTTGATTCATTGGTCAAGCAATAACTATTTGAACAAATCGCGATTTTTTATAAAGTTTGATCAAAAATATTCATGATTGACGAATTGAACTCTGAAATCGATAATGTTTATTAAGTGTTCTAAAAAAGATTTCATTACACCAATAAATCAAGTAAACAAATTCGAGAAACTGATTACAAATTTGAATTGATCGAACTTGGTCAAAAACCTTTCATAACACTATATAATGAGTAAATTATTTGGAAAAATATTCTTTCATTGATAATCTCACAAGTTATTGCTTACTGGTAACTTGTTGGTTGTAATATTAACTATTAAGATTAGCTAGAACATTTTTCTGTATTACTCAAACAAAATAAAAGACTGATTTCAAGTAATTGAATTGATTTATGAGATTGACTACCTTTTCAAATGACTGAATACACAAAAACAAAAGATCTATTCGAAACAAAACTCGATAACTCGATATTTTATATTATAGAAATTGAATTAAAAAATCATTGTGAAAAACAACAAATTTTTCTTTCTTTCTAAAAGAATAGATGTAAGAAGCAAAAAATTTCCCATTATTCTTATAAATAGAAGTATAGACCAAGATTGAATTTAAAAAAAGAAAATAAGAAAAATAATCGTTCTGATAAGATATATTCATCAATGAATAAAAAAGATCTTTTTATGTTACTATTGATAAAAATAATTTGTATAATTAATTGAATATTTCAATGAAAATAATTATTTTATGAAATAAATGTGAATGATACTAGCAAATTGTATATATTTTAACAACTAGAAAATATTGTTTAAAAGAATTTCTTTATATAAAATTCTTTTTTTTATTTACTTTTGAAGAAAAACATCTAACGATATAAAACGAAACGAAACGAATCATTGAATATCTTCTTCATTATTTTCTTGTTGTTGAACCGAGAATGGTTTCATATGTTCATTCCGGATGAACACTTTTATAGAGATTCATAAAAACAGTATCTTGTGATTTAAAAATTCCATCAAATAGACATTTCATATGAACATGTGTACCTTTATATTAAAATAAATTTTATCTTTCTATTTAATTAATAAATAACAATAAATAACAAACCAAGTGATTCTTTAATATGTCCTCGTCGACCCCATCTTGTGTACGCAATTCAATTGGTTTAAACCAATTAACATCGTCTATTTAAATAATAAATAATAGGAATTTTAGCAAGAAAAAATAATCAAACCAGAATTAACTAAAAGAAGAGAACCAGTTGCTACTAATTCTTGACGACCTTTATTTGACAAAAAGCAAAATTAAGTTGTTTTTTTTTAATTTAAAAAATCGAATAAAATACCATCAGAAAATTGTTTAAATCCCAAAACCGATGCAGATGAATATGTTATTGGACCAAAACATGTTGCAACAAGAGTTTATCGTGGCCGAAAAAGTCTTTCAAACTAATTTAAAATATTCTTATCTCTATTAATTATTATAATAATCAATTAGTAACAAACTTTATGTTTATCTCAATTTGAATGTTGAAAATAAATCGGTGAACTTGAAAAATGACGAAAACCAACATGAAATATAAGACATTATTTTGATTTAACAATTATTTCGCTATCATTTGTACGATTTAAGACAATATTTAATATTGATAAACACTGTTCATGTGGTAAAAGACCCGTTACAAATAATAGATGAGCAGGTTCTTTAAAAAAAAAACAATAACAACAAGTTTTTTTTCTCGAATATTTCTTTTTTTATATAAGAAATTTTTTCTTACCAAATCTACTGATGGGCACATCTTGTACATAAAGGGTTACATAACTATGCACCTGTAACAAATATACAAATTAAAATAAGTATTTCATCAAATAAAATCTTTGGAAAAAAAATCTTGCGTAAATATAATTATTAAAAAGTTAATTACATTTATCTAGAACACAAAACTTTTGTTCATTCTTAAACATATGAAACATTGAAAATCTACCTGCACGAAATCATAAATTTCAACATCTACCGATTATAATCAGATTATCACTTTCTAACCTCTCTTTTTTTTACTGTCAAGCTCAGTTAAAAACTTATTTTTTGCTTCAAAATTGAATAAAAAGATTTATTTGAAAAAGAACTGAAAAAAGTCGTATAAGATGCTCAGATTTTGATTTAAATAAATTGAATTATCGATTTGATGAATCATAAAATTTGTTCTTTGATCAGAAACGAACTCATTTAGAAAAAACAATTTATTATTTGTTGACTAATGATGATACGTCACTGTCAAAAACACTTTTCTTTTCAATTCTGATCAACAACATTATTCAACATATTTGCATTTAAGAATAAAATCAATTTTTTTCAGAAATCTACAATTATCTATTTATCGTAGAATAATTAGATTCTAGTCATTAATTCGACAATATTATCAGTCGGCTAAACTTGCTCGAAATTTAGTTGGAGAAGACGATCGCAACTACTTTCAACAAACCTTATTGAAAATAATCGGATAGATTATCTTTTACGAGTATTCTGACTTAATTAGAGATAAACAATGTTAGATTTTAGATTTTGGTAAATAGAGACGATCGTAGTTCTGCTGAGAAAAATCGATAAAGAATTGTCAAGGAAAGAACAATCACTCCGTATTTCTTCTCTCTTTATCTGACACTCAGATAAAACTTCGATGATTAATAAATGTCAATGATGACAAAACAAATTCATTGTCAAGATTATTAAATATTTGTTTCTTTTTTATGAAAATCTATTCAAAATAAATTTAAACATAAAGTCAACTCTAGAAGAATAGGAAAAAGCACAAAAGAATATTTCTATATGATATGAACATAATCATTTTTTAAGGATAATTTTTAAAAAATTCTTCAATAAAATCTCTTGATAAATTAATTGATTGATAAAACTAGATATATACATATATTTAAAAAGAAAAAGTTTAACCTGAGCATGATCTTGTTTATGTTGATTGTATTCTGGTTCACTTTCAATTTGTTTAATCATAGTACGAAAATTAGAAAATTGATAAATTCTTCTATAATCATATGGTAAATTTTCTTGTGGATTCCATTTTGTTGTTCGAAAACTTTAAACCTCGATATCATCAGGAACTTAATCATCTAATTTCGCTTCTTTCAATTTTTTTAAACTAAATTAAATATTTTAATTAAAATAAATATAATCAGATATATAAAACAAACGTTTATTTATCTTCTTCTAAGTCTGTTTTTTTCATCATGATTATTTCGATTCATAAAAAGTCCATCGATTTCTTCTTCATCTTCATCTTCTTCATGTTCTTGTTGATCAAGTTTAATTGATTGTAGATCAGCAGCATAATCAGTCATCATTTCTTGATGATCTTCATCAAAATCCTAATATATTGAAAAAGATTTAATATTAAAAAAAACTAAACATTTTGTTGCTTGAGAGACTGATTATCTTCATCCTCAGAAATAATCCATGCAGTTTGATATTGAGAAGTCCCTTTAGGTACACGTTTTTTTAATTGATGTTCAGATTGTTGAATATCTTGTCTAGTTGGCCGTGTTTGCTCTTGATCGAAATTCATTGGATCTTGTTCAGCTTCAAATACTAATCATCGTTCAACATTCGGATCAGCTACAAACGTTTTATCAACGATTGATTTTATTATTCCATTGGACTAAAGTATTTCAATTTTTTTTTAATTTATTTCTTAATAAAAAATGATTGATATTACATCTCGTAGAAATCGATGTTGTTCGGTTTTTTCTAATTGAAATATGGGGCGGGTGTGAGTGTGAGCGGGGGTGGGTTGGATGTGGGTTGGGGGGTGGGTGTGTATTTGAGTGTGAATCGAGAGGATATCTTAGCGACATAAAACACCCACACCCTTCAGAGAAGCTGTGTAATAGGGTAATTTGGAACAAGGACAATTAGAAGGATAAGTGAATCGTTTGAATACCAAGAAATATCCTAAAGCGAAATATTTTGAAATGAGTACCTCAGAGGTTCAGACATTGATAATGAACAATGCTTCAGAATAGAGTGATTTTAATATGCTATAAAGGACAAAAGTATCTGTTGCAATAAAATGACTTCAATAATTTGCTGAGAAGAAAAGTATAAAGTCCTTCTGTTTACGTCCTATAAACATGTGCCTATTAAACCTAGTTATTAATATGAAATGAGAATGGTACAATAATTCTCCCATAACCCTAGTGTCAGTTTTTCTCAATAGACATCAGTTAATTAACTTTCAATTTTCAATCGGTGAAAAATTCTTCGCTTTAATTTCGAAGACTAATAGACAAGTTTGCACGACATCGATAACTAAAATTATTGATGATTTATCAAGTCTTTTTTTCGGCAAAATTATGACTATTGAGAAAGAATGAGTATAGGATTTAGAGCAACGTTTTTGTCGATAGTCATACCTTCATTACTTAGATTGTGATTTATTCTATTCAGACAATTACTTAATGGAAGGAAAACATAGATAGTTAGCACATTCTTCTCATCGACAACATAAACTTTGAAAATATTCATTGGACAAGATGCTATAATATTTTGTTATGCTGAGAGTTCATTAAATTGAAATATTTGATTGGGCGCATCTCCATAATCAGTTTCGTACAGCATCTTGATTTATTGATAAGTAAAATAATTGTATGAGTTTGTTTTTGTTTAGAAAGATATCTTTTCGTACCAACTCCAACAAAAGTCACATTTATTTAACTCCATTTTTCATCAGAAGAAATTTTCGTAAATGTAATAAACGAACAGTAATGTAACCTACATAATAACTTGAACAATAATGGTATTAGTATGGATGTGGTATGTCAGTGTATGATGGAATAACTGACTATAACACTCACACCCACACAGTCAGCAAGATTTCTCTTATGATTTGCAATTATCTATCAGGAATTATCGAAAGCCATCGGTAGCTATCAACGCCAATATCATTTTTATGCTGACAGACATGGAAAATTCTTTTAGATCCTTGTAGTATAATATTTCGATTGAATTTTTTTGTACTTCACACAGTGTGTGTAAAGAGATTTTTTTTGAGTACATTAAAGTATTAATTTATAAGCAAGTGTTTATTTATCATATACACTCAATTATATACTGTTGTTATTAAGCATTCGATTGTTTTGATATCCTAATATTGTTAAACCAAATTTTTTTTAGGAACAAAAAGTTCGAAGTATATGAACATGAGTATATACGATTGCAGTAACTCGATATCAACTGTATATGAAAGGAACTCTTGAAGCTTTTTGTTTCCAGGCTTTTTGTTTATATGTATGAGTATAACATATTA